TTGGCACCCGATCTCCCAGAGCAACTAGCGGGGCCCGAGCTCAGCAGCCGACGCTGCCGGCCAAGGCCCTAGTCGGGGCCACAGGGCCTCAGGACGGGCCGGATGGGTCCGGAGGGCCACCGGGAGGCGGGCAGCCAGCCTGCGTCCTCCGGCCAGGTGAACGTACCCTTCCCTCCTCAGACCCATCGGCCGTATCTGAGGAGGCCTGGGGCTCGCCGCTCATGAGGCCACGAACGGGGTGACCTCCCCTGCTGTCCGGGCTTCATCTGCCCCCCCCCATAAGTGGGGGTGTGGACAATGGCCTGCAGAGAGCACAGTGCAGGCCCCCACCCCAAATGCATGAGGTGGGGGCTGCAGGATTTCAAGGCCAGGGAAGCGGCAGGGGCGGCCTGCTAGATCCCCGTAGCGGGCAGGGGTCTCCACGGGCACCCCCATCCAGACTCGGCTACATCTCTTGGCACCTCTGTCCACCCCAGACCCGCCTGGCCCTGCAGCATCAGCCCCGCAGGGACCCCACACTGGGTACAGGTTCGCACGTTCCGGTCTCCCCAGAACAGATGCTCCTGGGCCCGTGCCTGTGGTGGGGGACGAGGTCAGGCACGGGGACAGCAGAGCAGGTATTATTTGTGTCCCGAGGGAAGGGAGGGGACTAGAGAACAAGGACGTGCAGTGTCAGGCATGTCCCCACGCCCGCCCGACTCCCCTGCTGGGGTGGGAGAAGCAGCCAGCCCGGAGGGCCGGACAAGAACCCCCTCGCTGCCGGCCTCTGGGCAGACGGGTGCGAGCCAGGCCCAGGGCCCCCCGGGGAGCCGCACGCACGCTGCCCCCTGCTTCGCCGCGCATGTGAGCAAACCGAGGCCGTGGGACGGCAGCCAGGGCGCGTCATCCGGGACGCGGCGGGCAGCGGCACCGGGTCTCCAAGCCCCGGAGCTGGGAAGGGGATGAGGACTGGCGGGGAGAGGCGGGCCTCACCTGAAGGGGTCCGTGGGGTCTTGGGCGTCACAGACGTCCGCGTGGCCATGGCAGACGCAGCGGCCACCGATGCTGATGTCCTTGATGCTATAATAATACTGCACCCGCGGGCGGTGAGCGCCACGGCCCACCCACACCAGCCCCAGCCCGGCCAGACCGCCCCTGGGGCCCACCGGTCGGCGTCTCACCCGGCGGGTGACGGTGGGGTCCCGCAGCGCCTTGCCCATGAGGTGGCCCAGCAGCGTGTTTGTGCGCAGGAAGCGCAGACGGATGTTGGTAGCTTTGGTGAAGTCACGCAGCAGGGGTGAGTAGGAGAAGTTCATGGCCCCCGGGCGCCCGTTCACCAGGGAGACCACAATCTGCACACAGGGCAAAGGGTCAGGCCAGGGTGTGGGCCGCCTCCACCAGACCAGCAGGGACCGGCCACCGTGCTGCCCCAGAGCCCACCTCGCCGTTCTCCAGGGGCACGATCCGGGAGTACTCGGTGGAGCAAACGACGTGGTCGTCCCGCGTGATGCGCTCCAGCGTCTGTGGCCCGAACCGCTCAAAGCAGTCCCTCTTGGAGGCTGTGTGTGGGAACCGGGCGGGAAGGTGAGGGCGCGGGGCCCCAGCGGCACTCCCCGACACTGCTGCGCCTCGAGGGGCCGCCCCGCCGGCCCCACAGGGAGTTGCTGAAGGAGCGAGGCACCTGCTGAGAAGGGAGCTGCCCCAGGAGGGTGTGGCCCTCGCCACGCCGGCCTCTCTCTGCAGAGAACAAGCCCCCAGGTGGCCCTCCTCATCCCGTGCTTGGGGGACCATTCCCAACTGCCCTGTGGAGGACTCCCCGCCCTCACTCTCGCCCCCGGAGTTCTGAGGGACCCGTGGCCCAGGCCCACCCAGCGGGAGCGTCCCCATCAACGTGGCCGGTCACGGTGGCGCTGGACAGGTGCGCCAGGGAGACGTCAGGGCTCCTGACCGGCTCCCCTTGTTGCTCCTGGAGCTGCTGGGCCACGAAGCCGGTCTCATGAGGGCCAAGATGTGGCACCAGAGATCCTGGCAGCACCAGCGCCTGGACCCAGCCCGGGCCCACGTCAGGGAAAGGAACTGCTGAACACGCACCTGCACTTGGGACCTCACGCCCGACGGCCCTGATGCGCGGAAGCCGGGCGTGAGGGCAGGCCTGGCACTCGGGGCCCCTGAGAGAGCACGGGGATGGCGGCCCACCCCAGGGGACGCCCCTGGCCAGCCCCGGCAGGGAGACTCACAGGCGAAGAACTGCCACGGCTGGTAGGTGTGGCCGAAGTCCGTGGACCGCTCCAGCACCCAGAGGTCCGGTCTCGGCGAGTTGGCGAACTTGATGAGCACATAGGCCACGTGGAAAACCTGCGGGAGGGTGAGGTGTTGACGCCCCCAGGCCCCCTCCCCTCAGCTCAGGGCCTGGACGGCCACCCCACCCCGTAAGGGGGGGCTCTCTTTTCCCACGCTGGACGTCTGTGGGCTTGGCCCACGAGGGCCAGCCGGCTCGGGGCACAGCCCCTTGGCTCAGGCCTGTGGCTGCCGAGGCCCATGCCGGGGACACAGAGACTGAGGGTGGGAACCCCCATTTCTGACATCTCCCCTCCTGGGCCTGGGGTGCCTCCCTCCACCTCTGCCCCAGCGGCACATGGGTCAGGCTCAGAGTCTGCAGGCAGGCCTGGGGGCCGGGGTAGAAAGGGCACAGGGGCAGTCTGTCCACAGTGCCCAGGCAGCGAGGCTGGCCGGCCAAGTCAGGTGCTCATTCCACTGTCCCCAAGGCTCTGGTGGCCGGCCTGGGCAGGTGGCCAGACAGTAGCCCCAGCTCCCAAATGAGCCTGGCCTCCTCAAACAGCCAGCAGCTCCCGGAACGGGGCCCCTCTCCAGCCTCACCCCGGTCACCCCCATGGCACTCTCAGAGCTGACTCAGGACCAGCTCCCTCTCCCACTGACCGGCCCACGGCCCCAGAGGCCCCGACGGCAGGTCCCTGTGCTCATCAGGAGACCCCAGTGGGGCAGAGGGGCTGGACCATAAGCCCTCTCAGATCTGGGCCAAGGAACCCTCGCCAGCCCAGGAGCTGGTACTTCACAGGGCCCGGGGCACGTCAGGGCGGCACCCAGCCCGGGAAGGGCAAAGCTGTTCCCGCAGAGGCACCTAGAATCCCTCAAGCGCCGGCAGGCAGCACAGGGGCACCTCTCCTGCTCTGCCCCAGCACAACCTCATTCCAGGGAGGTATGCCTCTCACCTCTTCCTCACCGGAGGACAGCATCCCTGGATGTCCCTAAATGTCTTGTGCCTCCAGGGGCTTGGTGGGGTCCCTCCTCTGTCGACTGCTTCCCCGGCCCTGCAGCCTAGCAGGTGTTAGCCTTGATCCCCCAGCCCCATCCGACACGGGATCCACAGGGCAATCGGGACACCTCCTCGGGGAAGCCCTCCTGACTGCAGTCCACCCATGCTGGCTCCAGAGCCCCCGGTATGCAGACACATAGGGCGAGGTAATGAAGGAGCCCCTTTCAAGAGGCAGCGCCCCACGGAGGCTGGAGGACCCTTACAGGTTGTGGACCCAGCTCCTTGGGGGTGCGGCGCATGGCAGGGGGTCCCCACATCATCATCCAGAGCCCCCAACTCTGGGCCACAGTTCCCAGGAAAGGGCTCTGGTTCACTGAGAACAGCCAGGAGGCTCAGGCACCTGCCCGGCCGTGGCCTGGATGATGAGGCTGGGCCACCGAGACCCCTGAGAGGCAAGGGTGGCTGAGGATGCCCACCCTCGCACACCAGCCGGGCGTGACTGCCCCGCCCCTGCACACACGCTTCTGGGGGGGTGGTGTCCCCGCACCCACCCGGCCTCAGCCTCCCCTATGTGCTGACGGGATGGGGGAGGGACAGTGTTTTCCAGGCCTCGAAGCTCTGAGGGCCAGTGAGCGCCTCCCCCTCCCCCAGCCCTCTGCCCCGCCGCTAAGGGAACAACAAAGCCGGCAGGGCCACTGTGCAGGCTCTGCCCGTGCAGGGTGTGTTTGGGCTCCAAGGAGACATGGGCAGGGCGGGCAGTGGGACTCGGACGGCCCCTAATCTGCACAGGGAAGGCTGGGCACTCAGGAGGGGCGGGGGGTCCCACACAAGAGCAGAGTGTGCAGACAGGCCGCGTGGGGCGCCCACATCCCCACCCCCGCCGCACTCCCAGGGCCCCCCCAGGTAGGCAGTGGACGGCGCACCAGCCTCAGAGGTGACGTCACCCATCAGGCCCCCCACCGTGCCCTCAACAGGGCCCCGCCAGCGCCTGTTGCCCCGGAACAGAGCACTGGGGCCCCACGACGAGGCAGGGGCCACTTCAAGGCTGCCCAAGGCCCACAGTCAACCCCCATCAACTGAGGCCGCTGTGGTGATCCTGTGAGGGAAGGTGGGCACGGGCCGCTAAGGATGGGGGGAGGGGGACGGGAAAGTCCCAGGCCCCTGGGACACACCCGTTCCGAGTCCTGTCATTCCCAGAAGGCCTGGAGTTTTCAGAGACAGGCCCAGCTGAAGCCAAGAGCCGCCTTTCCCTGGGGAGGGGGGTGGGGGCGCGGGCTTCTTCACCCACAGCCGGGCTCTGAGGTCATCGTCCGTTCATTGCCGCCCGCGGGGGAGGGGCTGAGTCTCTGGGGCACAGACCCCACACCCAGACTGACACCTTGGCCAGCCCTCAGGCACTCCAGGAAGCCCCGGGGACCTCAAATGGCCCCTACTGCAGGAGGGGTCTTTGTGAGGGAGGAGGGGGGCATGGCAGGTGGAGGGGGGGCCCTGGGTGTATGTAAGGTGCCCACAGGCTGCTCTTGGGTGGGGGCGGCAGCTCGGCCCCCAGCAGAGGCCCCGAGGAAATGAAAGGTTCCCGCCAAGCCCCCTGGGACCCACCCCCGCCTTTCCCTGAGCGAGGCCACCAGGCTGCGCCCTCCGCTGGCCGGCTCTGTCCCTCCCCCAGGTCGGCGGCCGGTCGCATTTTTCCCAGCTGAGGGCACTTGCACAAATATTGATTCGAACGCACGGAGCAGGCGGGACGAGGGCAGCACGGAAACTTCCACCCCGTGCGCAGCGCCCCAGACGCGAGCAAGACCCCTGCCTCCGTCTGTTTGCCACCTCGTCACCAGCCTGTCACCCAGGGGGCCCCAGACAGCTGTGCCCACGGCCCCAGGCTGGAGGGGACGTAGCCGTGCACCCAGCCTTCCCCATCTGTCCCCAACCGGTTCCGGCTGCCAGGACCGCACAGCTGCCCTGGATGTGACCTGGGAGCAGGAGCAGACCCCTGGCCTCCCTGGACACGGCCCTCCCCCCGCCCACCCGCCTGCGGGGCTCCGCTGCCAGCTGGGGCTGACCTTTCCCGCTGCCGCGAAGTTCTGTGCAAAAGGAAAAAAATGTCTTTTAAAGCGAGAGCCAAACAAAAGCCTCCGAGTTATTTTTAAAAATCTGGCTATTCCGGGGCAGGCACGTCTCCAGGACGGCAGCCAGACCTGCCTCTCGGCCGCCGCACCCCCCGGCCCCCACGCCCTCCTGACCCGGGAGGGCACGTGCCCCGGTGGTGACCACTGCCTGAGGGGGGCTGGGGCCAGGACAGGAGGCCTAGAGACCGCGGTGGCTGTGCGTCCCCTCCCTGGACACAGCACAGTCGGAAGACAACCATGGCAAAGGTGCGGGTCAGGGCGCGGTGTCTCTCCAAAAGCTCCGAACGGGAAGACACCACCTGTCCCTGGAGGTGGCGGGGAGGGTGCACAGGGCACCCGGTGCCCAACACATGCTCGGTGCCAAGGCAGCGGTGGGGGGAGGGGAATGTGCAGGGGCCAGGGCTGGGGTCCGGACAACATAGGGAGGGACTCCAGACCCCACCAGGGGCCCCTGACACCCCCAGGGATGGGAGGGGGGCAGAGGGTGACAGCTGGTCAGCCACCTCTTCGGTTAAAGCGCCCATATCACTAAAGGCAGGGCCACGGCTGGAACATGGGAGTGCGAGGTGCTCACGGCCAGCGTGGCCACCTCCGTCCCGGCTCATCTCGGAGCTGGGAAGACCCAGGCCGGCCCTCACGTCCCTGTGTGGCGTGGGCCCGGCTGGGCCTGGCTGGGACCAAGCCCG